ATTAATACTGCCCTGTACGACATAGGGTGGTTGTTCGTAAACAGGAGACCGCCTCCGTAGAGTTGTGGTTAGAGCGTCCGCCCGGAGAGCGGAAGGTCGCGGGTTCGATCCCCGACCGCGTCATACCAAAAGACGTTAAAATATGGTACTTGTTGGTCCCTGCCTGGCGCTCGGCATTAATGGGTACAACAAGGACTGGTCGGTCAGTATAATGTGTCCGAGTGGGGTGTTCATGCTTCACTGCGGCATGGTATCTCAGTGGGCTAGCACTATAAAACCAGCTTAGTCTTGGCTAGTACAAGCAGCCGCACATACACATACACACGCATGCACGTCGTCATATGAGCGAAATATTCTCAAGCACGACGTTAAACCCAATTTCACCTCACCTCGTAAACAGGATACCCGTGAAGATCCGGTTTACATTTGGTCATCAGTAACCAATGCTTGTGGTAAGAGGCAACTAACGGGATCGGATGGTCAGACTCACATGTCATCATATCCCATTTGCGTAGATCGATTCTCATGCTGTTCATCACTGGATAGTCTGGTCCAGATTCGATTATATTTACAGACCGCTGACATATACAGCTGGAACATTACTGAGTGCGGCGTTCAACAACAAACCAACCAACCAACGTAAACAGGATCGGTTGACGGTGTGGAGACAGCCGTACTTAATTGTATCGGCAAGCGACAATCGGGATTCCAAACGCTGGACAAAACAGATTCAGAGTACTTGCCATGACCAACAGGTGCTGTGCGTGATTCAGACAGCTACCAAGAGAAGCCTGATGGACGCAGCACCCTCATGTCATGAAATATTGACTTGCTTTGGTTCAGTGTTAACAGTCACGCATGTTCGGTCGATTGTTTCCAAGGTAATGCGACACGCGGTTGACTGATGTCGATAATGGAATCGTTCACCTGTAACTTGATAAATCCTCAAAATGGCACGAGTACCTCCGTTAGAATGACACATAGTTTGACATTAGGTAAACCCCTCATTGAATTAAGTGAGTCGTTTCAGTTATTCTGTGCGTGTATTCTAACTCTAATTGTGGGGTTGTTCAAACGCACAAATAATTTCAAGACACACTTTAACCTTGGACACTTTGTCTTAGTGTATGAAATATGCAAAAATAGTCATAAAGAAATTGCTTATTGAAAAACATTCAAGGGAAGTCTTGAAAGTCTATAAAGAAAATCTAGTGAACTGTTCTTGAGATATCTCGCTGACAATCTTAACATGCAGTTTAACATGCTGAAATCTTCAGCGTCGCCATGACCTTGAAAATTAGGTGAAGGTCACCAAAATCAACTGGGCCTTGCACTTTCCCAAGTTGAGGCTTGGTGTCAAATATGAAGAAAGTCCAGTGAATGGTTCTTGAGATATATCTCACTGACAATCTTTACATATTCAGGTTAACAAATGCTGAAATCTTTAAAGTGTCGCCCATTAGTGACTCACTTGAAACATGAAGTGAAGGAAGTCACTAAAAAATCGACTGGGCCCTGTGCCTTCCCTCGATGAAGCTTGATGTCGAATATGAAGAAAATCCAGTTAACGGCTCTTGAGATATCTCGCTGACAAGGGTAAAACGTTAAAGTTCCCGTGTGACCTTGAAATGAAGGTCAAGGTCACCAAACCTGACTGGGACTTTTCTTTTACTGTGATGAACCTAGGTACCAAATATGACCAGTCAACGGTTCTTAAGATATTCCAATTCGTACTTACGTGCAGATGGACGGAGCCTAATACTATATCCCCCGCTTCCTGCTAAACGAGCGGCAGGGGGTAACAATAAACAAACATGAAACAAACATTAAGAAAGTGGTCAAAGCCCCGGTGGCTGAGTGGCTGACTTTGTGTGCTTGCGATTAGGTGCCTGACTCTGAGGATGTGGGTTCAAATCCTGGATGGGACTCAACCCAACAAAATTACTGGATCTGTACTTCACTAAGAAAGTGTGATCCCAAATATACTGACTCACATTCGTTTTAGCCGCTTTTGGCAATATTCCAGCAATATCACGGGACACCAGAAATGAGCTTCACACATTGTACCCATGTGGGGAATCAAACCTGGCTCTTCCGCGTGACAAGCGAACGCTTTACCTACCACCCCTATCACAAACATAACATGTGTTACAAATACTCGTAAACAAGAAACAAACAATCATACAAGTGAAATATTCCCTCTGTCACCGCCAAATCACACACATCAACAAAACAACTTTTATTCTAAAATCATATTTTATTAATCCAGATCACTGATGGTGCTGATAACACATCATAAATCCATTCAGCTGTGACCATGATGCCTGAAGGTCTCCAAAAGACCATGTAAACTTGCATAGATTTCCAAAACCTACTACACTTCAGACACATCTATATAGCTGATGTATAAACAGGCAAAATATAGAGTGTAAATACTTAAGTACACATACAATGCCTTCAAAATGACATAACATTATATATAACAAAGTAGCAAAAAGCTGTTCTTAACTTAATATTATCAGCGTTTTGAGATGTGATGGTGGTAAGTTCACACTGTCTCTTTGGACACATATTTAACATTTTTCATCAGGGTTAATCCAACCTTGATATTAACAGTGAATTATTACAATATTACCTACCCTTAAGCAACAGGCCTAAGATCCCTTTACACATATATCAACAGGTCTTGTCATTCCCATGACTTGTATCTACTTACTGTCAAAGCGTCTCACATCAATCATTCCTTTTACAGTTGAAAGATAAAACAATGTCATGGCCCTTCAAGGTGCGTACAGCTTATCAGCCATCAAATGTAAGGCCTATATGGTCTTATCAAGGCCCAATCAACAATTTCAAGGAACTATAGAAACACACATACCACATAAGTAGTTAAGTCACACAAAGTTGGTCAAATGTGGGACCAACTATCAGAGGGAAATAACTCTGACATGCATTGCTGCACTGAGAAAGGTTTGCTTCACAAATAAGATTACCACCTACTGTCATTGCAAGGTATTTTTATTGGTTTTCTGTAAAATCATAACTTGTCAAGTTTTGCTAAATATGGGGCATTTTAGGACAAATCACTGGCATTAAGTGCCTGTTCAAGGCTGAAATGAATTTAGAGTAAAATGTCCAAATTTCATGTGTTTTTCAAGTTTGTGCAAACCCTGCCCTTACTATAATTCTGTCATAAAGAAAAAACCTATGCAGAAGGTACTGGATTCTCCTCCCCCAGCCTTCAGACTAGATGAAATGCATGTTTCCAAAGATTTGACAATGCCTCTTCATGTGCTAAGTGTTAGTAAAACAGTCAACATGCTGAGGATTTGATTGGAGAGTTGCAGGTTTGATAACCAAGACAACTCTCCCATGAAGTGCACTTGATATCAACACAATTCAAATTTTGATTTTCCAGCTCATTAAATACTTTGATGATTTCTCCTGATGGTCAGACACCATTGTTTGATCAAATCTCTGTACATATACTGAAACTGTTCACTGCTAAACTACATTGACATTAGATGGATTGGCTGATTACAAATGAGTCAACTAAAAATACTGAGATCTATATGTGTTATTATGAATAGAATTCAAACTTGGGGTCCTCTAGCCTGACCTGTACTTTGGACCCAGGGGATATAAATGAGTCTTGTATTGGTGTTAGTTGTCATCCTGTTCAGGCAAGGTTTTTCCCTCGACTTATCTCATTCTGTCCCTGATTATTAAAGTGTATTTACAAGCAGCATATATGGCACCACTAAAACATTCTAACTGGACCTAAAATTCAATGTTTTTATGTAATGCTGGCATTTATCAACAGGTCAATGACAGTGTAGCAAACGTTGATGACAAACAGAGAGAACACATTTTAATGGTCAACTATAGCAGAGTTTGATAGACTTATTAACCACTACATTCATTACTTTTACCCCAATGGAAAAAATATTTGATTTAATTGTACATTATATAAAAATAATTAAAATATATAAAATTTGAGGTATTCATAACTATGATTCCCCAAGAAATGTCATTACCCACGACTATTTTAAAGGTTTTGAGATCTTAATGGCAAATATTCTAATTCAATGCTAAATACCACAGTCTATATTAACTTTAAATTGATTCAATAATTAGCATAATATCTATACACCACACTGTCATTCACATGTACTGACCACACAATTAAATGGAAACTGGCATAAAATATATATACAACTGCACTTCCTTCTTCCACAACCAAAGAACTTAAATAATCAAATTGCACTGGCTTGTAGTAGTTATTCATAAACCATTATGAAGGATAACATTTCCCACTTCTTATGGTACCTATTGTCACCTATTTTTCCATACTGTCTGATCTACATGAAATAGATGCATTACCTGAGCATGCGAAGTCATCATAATCTAAATTACCATTTCACTGTTTATAATGACTGACTGACTGAGTTGAGTAATCAAACAAAGATTTTCTTTTAACTTCTCACAACTTTTGAGGCCAAGTTCTGAAATCAGGACCATGAATGCATCTCCCATAATTCCTCATTACTAGGTTCAGTGAACACAGGTGTAATTCTATCAGTAGTTGCTTTGTTCACCTTTTAACTCCACTCCCGCTCGACCCCTTCCATCACTTACACTGACTCAGATGAGAAGCTTGAACATGTCAATAAGAGTGAGTGAGTGAGTTCAGTTTTACGCAGCTTTTAACAATATTCCAGCTATATCACGGCGGGGGACACCACAAATGGGCTTCACACATTGTACCCATGTGGGGAATCGAACCCGGGTTTTCGACGTGATGAGCGAACGCTTTAATCACTAGGCTACCCCACCGCCCCGTCAATAAGAAATCACACAAGTATACATGTGATCCTAACGTAAGACAAGTGCAGAAATGATCCCTTTAAAAGATTCGACAGTTGGTCAAACATGATTCATTTCATTTACAACTACTTAAATATCAGGGATGTTGCAAAAAGTATTCCCTATTTATTTCAGCTCCACATTAATCTGTACTTGGTGATTTTTCACACTCACTCATAAGGGAGTATATTTAAAAATTATTAACAGCACTATTCATTAGCAAATGTCCACATTCTAATTGTCATTTGTTTATGGTATATGATGCTAGAAACCATGAACCATGACAACATGGCTACAACATGAAAGGACGGCATAAGCATATTGTGACATACTTCACAGAAAACAAATGTACAATTGAACAGTAATTCTGTATCAAGTAGAGATTGTGCCCTTACTGTAAGTCATAGCACTAAATTCTGCCGGGGTCTATCGATGTAACTGTGAAATAATAATTTCAAGGAAATATGGATAAAGCAGTTTTGTTCATATTTTCCATGGCATCAAAATATATGTGAAACATCAATATTACAAAACATTAAACATGGTGGCTAATTTCACATCTGCGTAACAGTCAACGCACTGAATAAATCCCTACCATGAATACTACATCACAAGTATGGCTGGCTTGTCTTGTGTGCATATAGGTGCCCACCTTTATACCCGCCGGTACAAGCTTGGTCCAGTTATCATTACACACTATATAATTGAGGCATCAGCTTCTTTCAAAGCTGACTGGTACTGCATATAATGCAAATTGCTGGGACGTAAACATGCTGACTAAGCATGTCTCTCACCACCACATGAACCTTGTGTAATAAGCTGTAGCCTCACAGGCCATCCACTGCAACCTTGACCTCTTCATTCATGCCAACCTTCACCCCAGATTCCGCATATTCTACTGTGATCTCTGACTCAGCGATCTCATCTGGAGGAGGACACTTGAGACAGTGGGGTTCGGGCAGGCCGTAGTTGAGACAAACGTCGCCAACACACTGACAGCATCCATACTCATGGAACCAGCGGTACTTGGCGGCACCCATGGACTTGCAGGAAGCTTTGCACTTGTGTATAGACATGCACTGCGAGAAGAATGCCACAGTGCAGTTCTTGTTCTCATCCTCTTCAGGATTGGATGCAAATTTCTTTTCGTCCTCTCCTGCAAATAAAATATATTGATGTGAGTGGATGAGTGTGTGGCCTTGTAGCATATATTATATCAAGACTAGTAACAAGAGACTTTCCATAATGTTACACCCATGTAGGGAACGGAACCTGGGTGTTGGAGGTGTCAAACCAGGTCTATCCCAATATTGGTTGGTTGATTTATTGTTTAACGCCACACTCGGCAACATCCCAGGCGGCAGTCTGTAAATAATCAAGTCTGGACCAGACAATCCAGTGATCAGCATCATGAGCATCGATCTATGCAATTGGTATATGATGACAAGGGTCAACCAAGTCAGCGAGCCTGACCACCCGATCATGTTACTCACCTCTTACGACAAGCATGGGTTACTGAAGACCAATTCTAACCAAGATCTTCACCATAACAGATGCCGTCATGGTTATAACAGGGGACTCTAGATTGTTTAGGACCAGAACACCAAAAGCTTTGCCACAACAATTGGTGAAGCCTTACTTTCAGTTATTCAGTTACCACATTAAAAACACTTTCTGAAATTGTCCAGTGACAAAGGGACATAACTCTGCACACAAGCTGCACCTGAGCAATATGACATAGTATGACACTGGTCATGGGCTTCCACAACGCCCGCATAGTGCACTGAGGCTTTGATTCAACTTGACAAACCACAATCCTATCAGTGAGGGTTGACATGCAAATCTTCTGGATCACTAAAAAGAGTGTGTACATGCTGCTCGAATCCAGAGTAAGCACGAATACTGTCATATTACAGCACATGTCCAAGAGGCGGGCCAGACAATGTTTGCATCACAAAACAAGTCACCAAACTGGATGTTTCATAGTTACGGCCCCGCCATAACTATTCCAGCTATATCATGCAAATAACATATTCTGGCCAAACAAACAAACACCTTAAAATTTGTTCTACATCCACCTCAGTCAGGATGCAATGACACTCAACAATGGTGATGGCGACACATTCCAATATTGTCAAATAAGAAATACACTTAAATTTAAGACTGTGCAGTATAACTGGTACACCGCAATATGCCTTTTAAACGATATACAGTCCAATCCCGATGAGTCGAATCTCTGGGGACCAAGTAATAAATTCGACTTATCGATATATTCGAGACATAGGTATGTCTATGAGGGTAGAAAAAAAGATGATCCAGTCCTAATTCCTCCGCCTAAGCATTTGTTTATCTAATGATTTCCCTATCACTAATAGGGGCACCTTATCAGTTCCAGTCTGATTAGCACAGACAGTGATTTCTGTAAAATCACTAATCTGCCTTTTGAACTCACCCATCAAAGGCGGAAAGGTGTGAGCAGCGCTGGTTTGTTAATTTGATCAGATTGCTACACCAATCAACTTCTCATTGACTTCGGCTTATGTATACAAGATTGCTGTTGTTTGAATCTCATGGGACCAAATTTTCTTCTCGAGTCATCGTGTGTATTTATGAGACGAATTCGTGTAACCGGTATTCAAATGATGACAACTATAACAGGGAATGGTCGGGACCGACAGGTACTTCGAGTTATGCATAATATTCGAGACACTGGCATTCGACTCATCGGGATTTGACTGTATGTACTGTAACTTTTTTTGCTGAGAACTGGTAAATTGAGAAAAAAACATATATGAGGTGAAATTGGGTTTTAACGTCGTGCTTGAGAATATTTCGCTCATATGATGACGTGCATGTGTGTGTATGTCTATGTGTGGCAGCTTGTACTAGCCCAGACTTAAGCTGGTTTTATAGTGCTAGCCCACTCGGATACCATGCCTCAGTGAAGCATGAATACCCCACTCAGACACGTTATACTGACTCCGAGCCGACCAGTCCTTGCTGTACCCATTAAAACCGAGCGCCAGGCAGGGACCAACAAGTAACATATTTTAACATCTTTTGGTATGACGCGGTCGGGGATCGAACCCGCGACCTTCCGCTCTCCGGGCGGCGGACGCTCTTACCACTACACCACGGAGGCGGTCGAACATATATGAAGTTTTTGTGATTATATTTATGGTTTAAATTAAAATCTACACAGACTTTCATTCACAACAGATGTTTCCTTCATTATTCAATGACAAAACAGCATACTGTACTACTATATATGTCTATATAAAACAAGAAAATACAATCCCTAACTATGCAACCTACTTGCTGTTATCAGGATATTAACATATATGTTTTAGGGACTTATAATGTAGAAATAAGGATCAACATGTACAATTAGTGTCACACACAGTCGAACCATTAACTTCCCAAAATTTTGCAATACATATAAAAAAACAGGTACCTGAATCACAATATATTGCAATACAATATGTTGGCCAATACACAGACTTCTTGATTAAAATGAAGGCAAATGTTCCAACTTCTCCCATCATTACCTATAGTGAAGGTGTACTTCAAGTCCTTGGTGCCATTGTTCAAGAATGATTCCTCTGGCTGGTGACGGGGGTACGTGTAAGTCACCCAACGCTGCTGGAAGTCTGCAATCTCGGTGAGGACATTGAACAGATCTGGAATGGGGTCTCCTAGACGTTCAATGGAGCTGGTCTTATACAGATCCATGTTGGGGTCTGGTGGAGGACAGAGGCCTGACAAACAAAAACATTCATAGTCAAGCATAATGCAGCCTTCTTATAAAGTGTTGCTATGATTCTTATTGTTTGTTGATAAGTACTGCAAATGTTTATTCCAGCTATATCATTTTGGCCTGAAAATAATTTATTTCAGACCAGTCGTTATATTCTCAGCAAAACTCCTTGTCTTTGAGGTATTATAACAGGCCATCAAACAAGTTGACAAGCCAATGTGGCCCTTTATGCAAGGACAACTCCACATTGCACCACAATGAATGTGTTTTAGTGTTTCACAGTACAATACATATCATGGTACTTACTTTACAACAATTTTGCATGAGTGAGTAAATGAGTGAATTTTGTTTTATGCAGCACTCAGAAATACTCCAGCTATGTGGCGGCGATCTGTAAATAATCGAGCCTGAACATCGGATCATGTATTAACAAGTTCAAGCATGTAACTAGATTTGGAGGATATCACAGTCACTTATTTCAACATGATAAAGGATATCCCAGGAACCTAAAACACGACAATAAAAACAATTGCACCATGCCCTGGTGGGGGTCCCTTTGATCTTACCCGTGGTCTATCTAATAGTTACACCATGGCTTGAAGTAACCTTTGATCTCGTCGATCTGATTGGCTCACTACAGGTTAGCAAGCCACACCTACTGTTCCCACGCACATGAAACAGTCTCAATCGAATGTAAACCTTGTAGTACTGACTTCATTCTAAAACGAGAGCTCGTGTCTACATCATAATTTTTTATGACCTGAGTCAAGTGTATAGTTTTAAAGTTCAGGAAACATTGCACCTTCGTCTGTGTTCAATACTGACAATTGAGTCAACCCATCTAACACTGCTGATTGAGTTTCCATAACGTCAGCAGCTTGCGAAAAATGTGTCTTCAATAGTTTCATCCCATTCCAGTCTATTATTGTCAACTTCATCAATTATTTGTGACCATGTAAGGTCTATACCACTCATGACTTCGCGGCAGTGTGACACAGAATGATTTCAAATTCAAACATCCCGCGCAGATTTTGAAAACATGCAATGTGGGCATGGTACAAACTTACAAAGCAGTTGCACTATCCAATCACTCGAGGTTTGTCTACATAGACGATGGGCGAGCCTGTGTTGATTGACAGCTGAATATTGTGTCTCGGGCTACGTTCTCGACATATTCAGCTATCAATCAACACCGGCTCGTCTATCTGGACAAACCTATCGTTTCTAGATAGCGTAACTACTACAAAAACATCAGTACACCCTACAGTCAAATTAGTGTCCGGCATAACCAAGACTGCAAGATTGTAACAGGATCGTGAGGATGTACTGACAAACCCGGAGACTGACAATATTGTAAAGCATGGGTGAATATTGGAAGCAATCTTTTTTAACATGCCATACCTTATCAATATCTGCATAATAGCTATAGGAGATGGATTACGATCTGTTGACTTGTGTAACAATGACATGGTGATTGTAACACTAAGACCATACTTGATAGTGAAATGGTCCTTAGCAATAAATCTTGCCAATTGGCATTGTACTCTGAACATAAATGGGTTTTACTTTAAAGATTTAAAGTTTGTACAGATATATTTTCTGTCTCAAATATAATATCTATAAAAGGTTTTCATCAATGAATCAAATAAGGTGCCAAGGGCAATCATGTCTGTTGCTGGTCAGTCAGCTTTTTGCAGAGTTATACCACATCTGTATGTTATACCCAGCTTCTAAAATGCCACTCAAACAGGTTAACACATGTGTATTGGACAGATAATTGACTGTCACAGAAAGTAAGAAAATATACTATGTAAAAATTGTGAGATACATAATAACCACTACTCAAACATATATTTAATTTTTCACTTAAATTCGAACTTATATTTTAAACAATAAAATGCCCAATGTGAAATCTAAAATTAATCAGGGTGGTCTATGTTTATCATACTGTTATTCAAGGCTCTCCTGTATATTTGCAGTCAATATATTCATCCGTAGTTATAATGCACTGGTAACATTCAACAAGTCTGCAGCATATTTCATTTTTCAAGCTAGTGGCTTATGCAATATAACTATATTTGTCGAAAAATCAAATGTTCCCACCAAATTTTCTATATTGAAGTGATCGTATTGAACGAGTTGCGAATAGGTGCCACGTTATTTGCGACAGAAATTCAGATTAAAAATCAGTCAACTGAAAATATTTATATAAAATATATGCCAATTGTAAGTAGGCGTTCATAATCCTGACAGTGACAACATTACTACCGCGATAGTAGAGGACCCCATGCAATGACCTCTCACTGGGGTTATCCCTGACCTGTATAAGCTTTTTGTAAATCATGCTTTGTGAGTATTATACAGAAATCTAAATTTGGCTGAAACGTTTAGACAACGGTGTACAAATTAAGCTTGACTTACCCACACATGAACAGCACTCTGTATACAGGTCAGCCAAACAAACCTGACAGTCTCGGCAACACGTACAGTTCTTTTTATCCGACATGTTGCACTCGCAACATTTGATCAGCATGCACTTGCTGACCCGGCTTGCACAAATTGCTTCATTGCAAGCCTCGGCTAGGCACAGTACAGCAAGCGCTCCACAAAATGCCAGCGCTGCGCTTGTCCACTTCATTGCTAGAACAAACACAAAGACAAGTCAGTAAACTTGTAGAATGTCCCGGAAATAAGGCGCGACAGTTGTCAAGTCCGTACACCATGTGAAAGCATTGTTTTGACGGGAAACCTGCTCAGCCTACGAACTTTCTCCGAGGAGTTATCGAATGTCTGAGGTCAGTTCACATCTACTGCACATGCTGTTATGACATTTAAACTGCACAGGACGTTAATGAAGTATATTACCTCTATGGATCGGATGTGACGGTTTCTAAATCCCGATTGTAAATTGATCTGTCACTTTACATTCTTTCTCTTCAATCATGGAGTGAACTTTTTGGCCCCCTCTATCGGCGGGTGGTTCAAAGGGGGATAATCGTTGCCATGCTCACTCGCTCCGATACAGGGCGGTTTTTTTCAATTCACAGAAAAGTTTGATTCCAGTAATCGTTGTTAGGATCTAAAAAAGCTTGTGTTCAGTATCGATACACATCAATAAGATGAAAAGCATTTTATTCGGGTGCAAGGGGAAATTAATCTTGCTGCAACGGCCCGATCCAACTTGGAGAACAAAACATAGACACACATTTTAATATAGTGACATCACCCCAACCTTTCAGAAAATGTATCCAAATATTTCAGAATGAGTGAGTGAGTTTAGTTTTACGCCGCACTCAGCAATATTCCACCTATATGGCGGTTGTCTGTAAATAATCGAGTCTGGACCAGACAATCCAGTGATCAACAGCATGAGCATCGGATATTGCTAATTTTAAGCGGCGTAAAACTTAAGGTCATTCAATATATCAGAACTCTCTTTAGAACATTCGATGTCATCACGAACGTGCAGTAATCCGTTCATAGAGTTGGGTAGAACTGGATGATTCCTTCGTACTGGCATTATATACAATGGATTGACACTATACTTTCAAGAGAAATCTCGATGCTCCCACAACAAAGATAATGATGACACATTATGAAATGCCGTGAAATGTAACAAACTGAGAGAAATGTGACAATGATATGTGACCATGATATGTGACAGTGAAATGACGTGAGTTTTGATAACCTGTGAGACACTGGTCGCTGAAAAAGTGGATGAAATGCCGTGTAATACATGCATATATTTTCTCAATAAATAACAAATGTGACAATTATATTTCTCGATGGAATGCAGTGGAATGTGGCAGTCAATGTGGCAATGATAGATGATAAAGACGACGATCTTATTTGTGGATAGAATTCCACTTATTGTGACAATCTGTGAGACATTGATATGTGGCAAATATGAAAATTATGTTTATGCCACAGAATGTCAATGAGTGAGTTTAGTTGTACGCCGCTTTTAGCAATATTCCAGCAATATCACGACGGGGGACACCAGAAATTGGTTGGTTATACATGATACCCCTAAATTCATAAATGTATTACAGAATGTTTTACAAAATATCACCAGGGACCCGTGATCTAAACAATCTATCGCGCTTATTCTGAGGTTATGGGAGACGGAAGGTAACTGGTTGTGGACCAGAACAAATAGAGAAACATAAAAGTAGGACAAGTGAACGAATAATGCATCCGAACGAGTATTCTATTGCTTTCAGTTTGTGTCCCTGATAATATAACGGTGTGAATAAAAAATATATTTTCATAATATTTGTAACGATGTCCTGAAACATGTATGGGACTTATTGGCAGTTAAAAAAAGCTTATTTTTAAACAACTGTTTATCACATATGGCATTTAGTCGAGAAAATCCAGATATGTTACTAGTTGTTCGGTTTTAGTTTTCTTCTGTCCTCGAAATTAATGGCTTCGTTTGAAACTTAACCGCAACAATGAGCGCAACTGTTTTCCGAGAAGGCTTTGGTATATGTCGTTCTCCTGAAACAATTGTTTATAGCATGTCATGTTTGGTTTACTATAGCTCTTTAAAGTCTCTATATATTGCTCTTTGCTCATCTAAACCATGAAATGCGTGACATTTATAAGGTTTAATTTATAGGCTCGTTCGTTACAAACTGAATGCGGCGTGATTTATTTTAAGTTAAAGGAGAAAACACGCCCCCGAGGTTTTGGTAGAGAATGTAAAACCTTGGGAGGAGGGAAATCCCTCGGGGTTAAAACCAAGGTTTTACATTCTCTACCAAAACCGAGGGGAAGTGTTTTCTCTAATTTATAAACCGTTAAGTGAAATTTTAAAACACATTGTAAAACAAATGCCATATAATGAGGTAAACATCCGAGTTACATCGAGGCAGTCGACGCAACATTCTCGCGATCGGTTCACCGACGGCACGTGCAGATTTGCACACGTCGTTTATTGCAGCAGTTTCACAGGGTGGAAGCGCTGTCCACGCGAAATGTGGAGTTGCCCCAAAAGCAACTCCATTTCCCAGCCTGGTTCCCTGGGTCTGTTGCGCCTGCGCTACGCTCCGACACTGTGGCGGATCGTAGCGCAGGCGCAACAGACCCAGGGAACCAGGCTGGTGACAAGCGAATACCCAAGAACCAGTTCTGGTGCCTAATTGCGCGACCGCCTAATATGACCTTACTAGACCGGACCAAGTGTACCACCATGCTTGGCTGTCACAGCTGGTGACAGTCGTAATAGTTGGATCATTTGGGGACGATAAGATCGAAAATTTATTATTCCTTCAAGGATTATCGGTTCCTTACTGACAACCGACAACCATGAGTCAATTCGAAAACATATGAGTACCTTTCTTTAGCTATAATATATTTTTGACAACCAGTGCAGTTCCATCGCTAAACGTGTTTGTCAAAAAATATATTTCGGGAATCAATAACATGGTTAACGTAAAATGCATTTGAGTAAACTGTATTTATTGAATTAATAAAACTATTAATTAATATACTGCTATTCATAAAACAGCCATGTGTTACCAACTTTATCAAGTTGATGTTCTGTTCATATTTGGCCACATTGACTCTGTCATTTCCATTTTCAATTAAAGTATGTAAAATTTCCAAATTAGAATATTTTTGTTTGTTTAATTTATAGATTTTCAAAATACATTTGTTATGCTGCAGCAATATTTTCAGTAACTATTCCAAATTAAAAACTATTTTTTGCATATCAATATTTACATTTGTTAGGAACTATTTAATAGATATAATCAATGGAGACAATTGGCTTTATGCAATGTAAAATGCATGTGTATAAATACTTGGGGTACTAATATAAATACTTTGGAAACTAGTTGGTAGGCTTAACATATACTTTTACTCTCTTCCAAGTCTAAGGGATGACTATGCAAGTTCAGGTGACAGAATGACACAAAGATACAGAAAATTGTTTGTTGCTTTGCAAGTGTGAAAGAAAATGCATTATAAATTTCACTTTGGATAGATGACAGGGATGTGCATGTGTCAAATTGTTTCTTTGCCATGCTGTAAATATATATACTAGGCACATAAAGAAACTGTGCATACAAAAATTTAAAATCTAAATTTATCAAACCTGTGTAGACACATAAGGATTTAAACTCAGAGATTAGTGACATGTATCCAACATGCATGCACGTGCCAAGTTCCGTGACCACAGTGGGTTCGTCCTTGAGACGTGCAATACGTGTGTGAAAGAAAATGCATTATAAATTTCACTTTGGATAGATGACAGGGATGTGCATGTGTCAAATTGTTTCTTTGCCATGCTGTAAATATACTAGGCACATAAAGAAACTGTGCATACAAAAATTTAAAATCTAAATTTATCAAACCTGTGTAGACGTTTGTGTAGACGTGCAATACGTTGTTGCACGTGCATTTCCGGGAAAGAGAAACAGAGCAAATGAATGCCACACAATACTGTCACTTTGGAAAGCTCAATCCCTGCCCTTGCGATCGTTCAAAAAATTAAACGGCTATTGAAAAAAACCGCATAGAATGCCAAGGCTCACATCTGCACAACGTCATGATGCCATTGGGATGGTCCGTGGGGGAATGTCTCAACGACAAGTGGCTGCACATTTCCACTGCGACCGGAACACCATTTCTGCACTGGTGAGACGCTACCAGAACACAAATGACGTCATCGATCGGCCGCGTTCTGGACGTCCACGTGTAACAACGCCAAGACAGGACATATGGATAAGGGTGACCCATCTGCGCCACAGGTTTCAGACTGCAGTGATGACTGCCCGAACCATCCCAGGACTTCGCCGTATCCACCCCAACACAGTTCGACAGCGTTTACGTCATCACGGGATCAGACCACGACGTCCCGCCATACGGCCTATCCTGACACAACGTCATCGACAAGCTCGCCGAATGTGGTGCCGAAATCATGTCTGCAGACCCTTGTTTTGGTGGAGAAATGTTGTTTTCACAGATGAGTCCAGGTTTAACATTTCCCATAGTGATGGACGTCAACGTGCCTATAGACGCGTGGGAGAACGTTATGTACAGGCCTGTGTCTTGGAGAGGAATCGCTTTAGTGGTGGTTCCGTGATGATTTGGGGTGGAATAACAGCACGCCAAAGAACTCCTTTGGTGATTGTTCAGGGCAACTTAACTGGTGTGGGCTACAGGGATCAGATTCTTCGACCTGTGGCAATTCCTTTTCTGCAACGTCATGGCCCTGGGTTAATATTCCAACAGGACAATGCCCGCCCTCATACGGCAAGGGTTGCTATGGATTTCTGGCAACACCAAAACGTTGACTTACTGCCTTGGCCTGCAAATTCACCGGATCTCTCCCCGATAGAGCATGTTTGGGACGAGATGGATCGACGTCTACGCCGTCTTCCTCATCCGCCAGATAACGTCCTTGACCTTGCAACAGAACTTGAGAGAATCTGGCGTGACATCCCACAAGCCTTCCTTGCACATTTGATAGGCTCTATGCGTCTTCGATGCACTGCTGTTCTCAATGCCGATGGTGGACATACCCGTTATTGAGCTTGTGACATGGTCGTTTGACCCCAGTTCCGCTTGTGGACTCATGACGTCATTGTGATTGACTTTTCAATTGAAATTCTCCCGACTTGTTATGGTCTCATGATCCCTCCATTAAAGTTTATATGTACCTTTGACATTGTTATCGTACTTATCAACTGGGATAATATTTTGACAATGCACAGTTTCTTTATGTGGCTAGTATATATTGATAATGATATATGGAATAAATAGCAGTTCTTGTAACATTATAAAAAAAAACATAGATATGTGAACTTTCCCATTTATGGTGACGTTTTTATTCACACAAGAAGTCATAGTGTCACAAATCAATCAACAGCTCAACAAAAAAACCTTGATGGCATGGTTACAATTATTTCGGTTACTACTGTCAGATATTCAAAACAAAAATGTGAAAACCTTCAGCCATATGAATAT